ATTAAAAATAAATGAACAAAAAAATACTAAATGAAAATGATAAACTCTTGTTGTCAAAAATATATAAACAATAAAAATGAACTGGCAGAAATATATGCAGTAAATGTAGTAACGGTTAAATAGTACTAATAATAAAGGGTTCCTGAAAACTGAAACCATATACATCGTAATTATTTCCATCTTCTACAAGTTTCCTGAGCCATGGGAGGAGTGTCTTAGAATATGAAAGCATGAATATTACCAGTTTCCAAGGGGAAAAAAACCATTATTTTTGTATTATCTATACTGGTCACATTTGTCTCTTTGCTCTCAGATCAATACCCTGCCCTTCTTTGCTTCTCTCTTTCTATGTCAAGGAACTACACTCCCCAGGCTCCCTTGCTCTGGCTTTTGGATAGGTCCCACCAATAAGAGAGGCAATGGCTGAGCCCTGGGGGATAGGAGAGAAGCCCTGATATTTCTCCCCTTTCTACATCTTTTCTGTGGTTCTACCTCTAGTTAGTCAGCCCCTGGCTTCATGGTCCCACTCTGGACCCTCTCCGTGGTTTTAGCCACACAGCCCCCATGCCCCACCTCTGGTAACATCACATCTTCCCATTGTCTCTCTTGGTCCTAAAGATGGCAACGGTTTCCTACTGTTGCTCATTTGTAGACTACCTTGCCATACCCTGCTGAGTTTCTTTTCTCAACTAAAATGTGTTTACGAATTCCTTGTATTAATATTTCCTATTTAAAACACCTAATGTGTTTTCATTTTCCTACCTGGGCCCTGATTCATTTAGTTCCTCAAAGCAAGGAGTTAATGAGAGATTTCACAGAAGTTAGTAATTCAAAGCAATGTTTATTGAACCTGGGTGGGGGGGGGCAGAAGAGGGGAACAAAACACAAAAAATTAAGATACGTGAATTACCCATGATGTGGAATCACTTAACACTAATGTATATTCTCTAGGGACCACATTTATCTAAAAAGTCATCATGGTAAGTAAAAAAAGAAAAAAAGTAGTACCTTAAAAAGTGTGTATAAGTAAATAAATACATAAATATATCAGTAAATAAAAAGTTTTTAAAGAACTTAATAAAAACCATGGCTGCTGATTTAGTAATCCACTATTAAATGAGGTTTAAGGTCTAGCTTCCTGGGAAACTCCTAACTTTTTCCCTTCTTCTCCCTCCTCCTACTAGCATTTTCTCCAGAAACAAGAAAAATTCAAAAGCTGCTGAAAGGCAATGGAAAGTTTTATTCAGAAGCTTAAAAATTAGCTTCTTACAAGTTTTGCCAGAATGTTTCTGCCAAGGTTAAAAACTCTGAATCAAAGCAAAGACAAATATCACAAAATGATGACAATGTGAATGAGAACAGATAAAAAGGTTACATGAGAAAAACATCACGATAGGATAGAATAATTTATCTATAAGTTATCCATATCTTAATATAAGGTGGAATAATTTAAGAATGGTTTAGCATCTCATTATGAATTGCCTTGAAAACAACCCAATATACAAAGATCCTCCACCATCTCCCATCAAACTTCCTTAAAGGGTCATTCTGACTAACCAATAATGGGAAAGAAATGGACTAAGAAAAATGTAAAAAAAAAAAAAAAAAAAAAAAAAAAAAAAAAAAAAAAAAAAAAAAAAAAAAAGTATACTGGAATAGTGGTTTGTGTGTGTTTTGCAAAATCAAAGACACCACTGTTTCTAGAAATCAGTTGATATTACAGTTGATATTACAAATTTCAACCACTTGCCTCAAGTTTCTGCTCATAGCCTAACACTTCCAGCCAGACTGAGTTCACTAAGACCTGGTATAGGTGTAATACTACATTAAACCATATTCTACTGGGTACAGTAACCTTCTTTAATTTCTTTTTTGCCTAACCTACTATCAAAAGTGAAGTGCTGTATACTTAACCACAAAAATGAAGCCATAACAAGATAGATTCATTTGATTAGTAACTTTTCATTGATTTTAAGGAGGTTCATAAAAACCTATACTAAAGTAAAATTTTGCAAACATATGTAACCATAAGCCAAATTTTCTTAAATTTTTTGTTTCACTACATTTTATCTATTCCAGGTCACCTTTTTTTAATGTTGATTTTTTGAGAGACAGAGTGTGAGCGGGAGAAGGGCAGAGAGAGAGAGGGAGACAGAAATCAAAGTAGGCTCCAGGCTCTGAGCTGTCAGTACAGAGCCCAACACAGGGCTCGAACCCATAAACTGTGAAATCATGACCTGAGCCGAAGTCAGATTCTTAACCCACTGAGCCAAGCGCCCCTCTAGGTCACTTATACAAACCACTTTAAAATGAAAAACTAAAAGTCATAGTTTCACTCTCTTCCCTCAAATTTCAACTTAAAAAAACAAAACAAAACAAAACAAAACAAAACCTATAAACATGAAAAAGTCAAAAAGGCCAATTACAAAAAAGGAAGTGTGTCTCAAATAACACAGGCCACTTTTAATGCTTTAAGATGCTTAAACAAAGAAATCAAGAAAATGTTCAGTAAGGTTACAGAGCGCATCTCCAGGCTAGACTACAGGCCAAAATTCACTTTACTTGTAGTAAGAAAAAGTGGGAACAGAGGTTTGGGCTATCTACAACAGTGACACTCTTACCCATCCAAGGTAAAACATTTAAATATTGGGATTGCAAATAACATCCAATCAGAAATAATGTGTTAGAAAACTGTAAGGAAACAAGGTAGCTAATTCCAGATAGTCAGAAGTAAAACACAGCACTGGCTTCCTCATGCAGATGTATGCTATGTAGGCACTTTGACTACCAATATGTGAAAAATCAGGCTTCAGAGTGTTAACCATTTCATATGACATTGGCAAGTGCATCCATACTTCCTACCAAGAAATATGTAGGCATATTTATGACATTTTGGTTTTAGTTTATATATTAAATACAACTTTATGAATTACCTAACAGCTTAAAAGACCTAGGAGCAATATATATCAAGTTTTTGTGGGATGTATGTGTGTTTAAAGAGAAGGCAGATTATAATGCCTTAGAATTACTGAACTAGGAGGTAGTTTGCCAATTCTGACAAACTTTCCACTATCTTTAAATACAGAAGCTATTCCCTGGTAAATTTTCCAGTTTAGTTAAGAAATCACATTACCATAACCACCTCAATCCCTAAAGTTAAATTTTAGTTTTCATAATGTCAAGTAAAAGTCTGTCTACTCATTCCTGTCCAAATGCTATTAAAATTTCTCTGGTCCCCAAAACCAAGAGCACAGTGTATACACTGTATGATAGCTAACTTGACAATAAATTTTTAAAAAATTTATTTTTCTCTGAGAACTTCAAGGAAAAAAAATCTTTTTAAAAAATGTGTATCTGTAATATTTATAAGAAATAAGGTCTTATAAATAATCATTTTCTGTTGATCAAATAAAAGTCACAACAACTTCTACCGTCCTGTATGTGCTATTTATGAGATGAATTTTTTAAAAAGTCCAGCAGTTCAATATACTGTTATTTTTTCTTTTTTCTTAAACCATCTTAACCATTTTTAAGTGAATAGTTCCATAGTGGTAAATACATTCACATTATTGTGCAACAGAGCTCCAGAATTCTTTCAAATTGCAAAACTGAAATGTTATAACCTGTTAAACAATTCCCCATTTCCCTTTCTTCCCAACCCTGGTCACCACTGGTTTTTATTTTTTAAAAATCTTCCTTTTTAAAGACCATGACTTTATAAGATTAAAAAAAAAAAAAAAAAAAAAAAAAATCAAACCCAAAGCAAATAATAATCATCATTTCCGGTGGAAACCAAAATTGACCATGAAACTCAAGTATACTGCCATCTACAAAAACCTACATCATCAAAAATGAAACAAGCACAAGACCTTATTTAAACAGCCTAATAAATCAACTTCCAAATTTTGTTGAAGAAAATACTTCACAAAATCTTTGAAAAATAAGTTTAAAATTGTTATCAACCTAGAGGAGTAACTCATCTGTGTTATATTTGGAGCTTTACCTAATTAGATTGAATTAATAAAGTAGTTCTCCATTAGAATAAATCTTTCCTTTACATAACAGTCTCCTTTGGGGCGCCTGGGTGGCTCAGGTCATGATCTCACAGTTCGTGAATTCGAGCCCCACATCAGGCCCTGTGCTGACAGCTCAAAGCATGGAGCCTGCTTCAGATTTTGTTGTCTCCCTCTCTCTCTGCCCCTCTCTCACTCACACACTCTGTCTCTCTTGCTCTCAAAAATACACATTTAAAAAAAAACAAGTCTCCTCTGATGAGAAAATTTGTTTCTAATGTTTCTTGCCCCTTCTTCAGACAAATAAAAACGGTGGGGTTTCACTGATGCAAAATGTCATACAGTTGATTATGAAACGTTTAATTGGGAAACTGTCTAGTGATGATAAAAACTTAAATCTTAAAAAGAATGAAGGTTTAATGATGATAATAAACTGAAAACTCTTTGGGAAAACTGCCCTTCCTGAAGAAACTATTCAATAAGCTATTTTTATTTAAAATTCCAATCTAATGACTAGAACAAAAGCCAAGACAATTGGTCTATGGTTACCAGTTCAACTGATAAGTTAGAGGACTTTAAAAGGTTACTCCTGCCAGATATAAATGAAACATTTTCATGATCATCCACTCTTTTTTCTGTTTGTTTCTTTTTAAGTAGGCTCCATACCCAATGTGGACCTTGAACTCACATCCCTGAGATCAAGAGTCACACACCTGCCAGGCGCCCCTCATGATCATCTACTGTAACAAGACCAGGAAATGTTTCTGAAAATAAAACTTAAAAAGGCAATTTCAAATATTTTTGTGAAAATTCCCAAAACAGACTAAATCATTTTCCATATTCATATGCCTCTAATAATCTGCATGTTACTTTAATGATTACCCAAAGATACTAAAATTCCTCTATCTCCATTACGAAGCTGAAAAACAAGGATAAAGACAAAATCTTGGAGTAAAGACAAAAATAACTTTTTTTGTTTCACCTTACCTTTCAAGGTGAATATTAATTGTAAGGGTGACGGCAATAGTCATTACTCCATAAAAGTTATTATCACTGAACTATATACATGTATGTAATCTGACCCCACTTCTCATTTATAATCAGTTACTCAGTTATAATCAGTTATAACTCAGTTATAATCAGTTACCTGCTACATATAAACAAAAATACTAAGCATATACAAATACCAACGTTTACAACCTTTTAAACCTCAAATACTATTGAAACTTAACATCAGTCCTGAATAAAATAACACTGCAATCAGCAGACTCTTCAGACTTCAGAGAAAACATCTGCTGTGTACCAGAGTAGTGTGTACTATGCTACAAAAAAACCAAAAACTCTCGCTATACTGACATGGTCTTATTTTAATCTAAAGGCAAAATGCTTCTTTCCTATCAACTAAACTGCTGTAGATTTTAATACAATCTATGTTGGGAAATAACTACCCTCAATTCTCTAAAATCATCTTCTACCACTATCCTTTCAGTCCACTCCAGCCACTGAAGGCTTACCTGTAAGTTCCTCAAACATACTAAGTAAACACTCCTCTCGGGGTCTTTACTCTTTGCCCAAAATGCTCTTCCCCAACTTCATCCAAGTATCTGCTCAAGAAGCCTTATTTGTTCACTTCCTATAAATTAGTAATTCCCAATCAACCGCCACTCCCTTTCCCTACACTCCTGTGTTTTGCCCCCGAACTATTTAACACCAACTATTTTTTATTTGCCTATTGTCTCTTTTTCACTCCCCTAAAATACAGGTCTGAGAGAGCAGACTTTATTTTACTCACACGGCTGTATTCTCAGGGCCTAGGACAGTGCCCGGCATGTAAGTGATGTTCGATAAGTATTTACGGAGTAAGTAAATAAACTAATGAATGAGCAACAAGGATTTATATTCATTTGTACAGCTGAAGTTCAGAGTGGTTAGATCTTACATTTCATAAAATGCATAGAGCTTGTAAATAAAAAAAATAGTATGACAGCATACAGATCTCCTAACTTTGTCTACAGACGGCTACATTTAGATCAGGCACCCATGCCATGTCTAGTTCTCTACAACCAGAAAACTAAGATGGCACAGTGAGGACAGAGCTCTACACACAAAGGCTGCTGAACTGCAAAAACTCCTGAAAAGAGACAGTACAAATGGCACACACATTTCTTAGCTTGTGTAGTCTACATTTCACGTGCATATTCTCTTACAATCATACTTATCCTTCACTGGAGAGAAAAAAAAAAAAAGAAATTCTCCCCTATAGCAACTGCCTTCACCAGCAATATAGCTTATCATGTCACTTTAAAAGAATTTTTAAAAAAAGAAAAAGAAAATCTCTAGTGAATAGTAATCACTCTAGAAAGAATATCTAATTGGAGGTATCACTAGTATCCATTCTCTTTTTAAAACTCTTTGAGAGTTTATGCGAGATCTGACAGATGGAAGAAGGAAATGGCCCATTCATTCAACAAATATTTATTATCCACGTTCTATAAGATAACTTCAAGAAATAATTCAAACCACAGGGGATGTGTTTGTGTGTGTTGTGTAGGATGGTGCTTCTAAAAAATCCTATATAAAAACCCCAAAATATAAAACTTCTTCACAAAAGAAAGGCACAACTGAATTTTGAAGATGATGTTATCAAAGAAGTGATTGATCTAGAATTATTTCAAAAATAGAGTCAAAACTGCTTCAACTAGATATTAGCAGTAAGTATTTATTACCATCAGGTAACTTTTTTAAGATTTCGTTTTTTGTTGTTTTGTTTTTTCCATTTCATTTATTTTTATTGTTTCTAGTTTTTTTATTTAAATTCTTGTTAGTTAACATATAGCATAATATTCATTTCAGAAGCAAAATTTAGTGATTCATCACTTACGTATAACACCCAATGCTCATCACATCAAGTGCCCTTCTTAATACCCATCACTCATTTAGCCCATCCCCCTACCCACCTCCCCTCCAGCAACCTTCAGTTTTTTCTCTATAGTTAAGAGTCTCCGGGAGCCTGGGTGGCTCAGTACATTAAACGCCTGACTCTTGCTTCAGCTCAGGTCAGTTCTCACAGTTCTCATGGTTCTGAGTTTGAGCCCTACATCAGCCTCTGTGCTAACAGCAGGGAGGCTGCTTGGGATTCTCTATCTCTCCCTCTCTTTCTGCCCCTCCCCAACTTGCGAGGTCTCTGTCTCTCTCAAAATAAATAAATAAACTTAAAAAAAAAAAAAAAGAGAGTCTCTTTTATGGTTTGCCTCCCTCTCTTTAAAGATTTTACTATTTTTAAGTAATCGCTACACCTGACATGGGGCTCGAATTTACAATCCCAAGAACAAGAGTCACATGCTCCACCAACTGAGCCAGCCAGGTACCCCATGATAAGGTAACTTTTATTATTATTAGAGAACTTTCACAAAGTTCTTACTATGAGCCAGGTACATTACATGTATTACTTTATTTAATTCAACAGCGCCATGATGTAAATATTTTACATCCATTTGACAGTTGAAGAACCTGGGTACAATATATATCTGTTAATTTCAAATATATATTTGAACAAATATATATATGTTATTCAAATATATCTATATTTGAACAAATATATATATATCTGTTAATTTCAGAGCTAGGATTCACATGCACACACTAAGAGCTTGCACTTAGTAACTACACTAAACAGCATGTTAAACACTGTTCACTGAAATTATAATCTTAAAATGTTATGTTAGGAGAAAATATGAACCCTACAAAAAAAAAATCACTGTAAAAAACAGTCAATAAAAAATACAATGCTAGTATATTAGCTTTGGTAATAAAATATTCATAGATGTTTGACCATTCATTACTATATGATCGTAATTGCCTAAAGTGTTCTTTAAGGCTAAAAATTAATTATTATTAGGTTACTTTATTTAATTTTTTTAATGTTTATTTATTTTGGAGAGATAGACGAAGACAGAGCATGAATGGGGGAGGGGCAGAGAAAGAGGGAGACAGAGAATCTGAAGCAGGCTCCAGGCTCTGAGCTGTCAGCACAGAGCCTGATGTTGGACTCGAACTTGTGAACTGCGAGATCGTGACCCGAGCAGAAGTTGGATGCCCAGACGACTGAGTCACCCAGGCGCCCCAGGTTACTTAAATGTTAAGAAAATACATCAAGAAAACTGTATGTAAAATTTTATACTAGTGCATTCTTTTATCATATTTAATGTACTACGGATAATTCATAAGTTGGTTGTAAAGCATGATTTTGTAAATATAACCCAAAACTCACAGGAAAGCTCATTCTTGTCTTGAATTTATAAAAAACTAATCTAAGTATGAAGTTACATCATTTACGAAGGCACTGTCATTTATTACTGCAGACTTACATTTATATGATAGCGATGACACTCTCAGTTTATCCATTACCAATGTGTCTACTAAATTATCAACGGGCAACTGCTCTTATTAGATGTTAACCCTACCCAAGTAACCTCTCTGAAAGATTCAGAAATGAAAAACATTAAATCTTATAAACTCCCTCGACTTAAATAAAGGTCACAAAACGTAACTTTTGACCTTGGGTGCTTCAACCAACCAACAGCTAAAGCATTCTTTTTAAAAATAGATACATTTTAAAACCTTTTTCAGCTCAACATATGGGACCTAGAATAAACATCCTAACACTCACTTTATCTCTGAGGCATACTCTAACAAAAGTGTTAATCAACATAATTTGTAAACAACTCTTCAGTGTGTATGCAACATTTCTTTATTAAAATAGAAGAGGTCATAACATCACAAGGAAATGAAAACAGAAGCCATCTGGGCAACAAGCTGCTTCTTACAGTGATAAAAAAATTAAAAGAACACAAAACAGAAAAAATGTAATCAGTGAGTAAATAACAATGAAAAAATAATAAGGTATATGCTGTAACAATAAATAACTTTTCAAAACAAACATATTGAGTATTTTACTTCGGAAGAGTCACTTTGGCAGGGTGTACAGTTATTCCTTTTTTTTTTTTTTTTACCAAAACCAATTTATAAAATACAACAATTTGGGCCGCCTGGGTGGCTCTGTCGGTCGCCTTATTCAGGCTCTGTGTAACGACGGCTCAGGAGCCTGCTTTGGATTCTGTGTCTCACTCTCTCGCTCTGTCCCCGCACTCACACGCACGTGTGCTCGCTCTCTCTCTCTCTCAAAAATAAATAAAAATATTTTTAAATAAATGAATAAAACATATCACTTTGTAGATATGGTAAGGTCACAATAGTTAGTAACCCACTCTCTCTAGCTCAGTTCTAATCCAAAGGAATCAGGATCCTCTAAAATCCCCAAGAGTGGTCCTATGATTGCTTCCAATGTTATCCTCCTCAAGCACCCTGAACCTCCTCGTCTCTCATTCTGACACTAGATGCACCTCATCTCACTCCACTTTCCTTCTTGCTCACTGCACTGTGGCCACACTAGCCTCTTTTCTATCCCCTGAACACACCAAGCTCTTTCCTGTCTCAAGGTTTTTGCACGTCCCATTCTCTGTCTGCAATACTGTCCTCCTGGCTCTTCCCGTGACTGGCTTCTCATTCTTAAGTCAATGTCACCTCCTCAGTCAGAAGGACCTTTCTTGACCCCCAATTTAAAGTAAAACCCTTGGGGCACCTGGGTGGCTCAGTCAGTTAAGTGTCTGACTTCAGCTCAGGTCATGATCTCATGGTTGGTGAATTCTAGCCCTCCATCAGACTCGCTGCGGTCAGCACAAAGCCCACTTTGAATCCTCTGTCCCCCTGTCTCTCTGCCCACCCCCACTCTCAAAATAAACATTTAAAAATAAAGTAAAACCCTTACCACCCCAGACACTCAACCTTTTCCCCCAATTATTCCCTAGCATATCACCTTATTAATTTACATTGCTTATTTATTTATATATTTTGAATTACCAGTCCCATTTACTAGAATATGAGGTCCACAACACAAAGGACTTCGTTTTGCTTATCACTGTATTTTCAGTATCTAGGCCAGTTGAGCACACAGCAGATGCTCAATAATGAT